TCCTGAACTTGATTGAAAAACATATACAGAACTATTCTACAGCTAACAACATACATAGTGTGAAAACCTAGATGCTTCTCCCTAAAGATTAGGAAAGAGATAAGGATATTTGCTCTTATCACTTTGTACTCAACACTGTACTGCAGACTCTAGCCAGGAAAATTAGCTAAGAAAGAGAGAGATAAGAGGTACTCAGATTGGAAAGGAAAAAGGAAAACTGTATTTACAGGTGACATGATCTTATATATAGAAAACATTAAAAAGTCCACTAAAAAACTATTGGAACGGGGACTTCCTTGGGGTGCAGTGGTTAAGAATCCACCTGCCAATGCAGGGACACAGGTTTGAGCCCTGGTCGAGGACGACCCCACATGCTGCGGAGCAACTAAGCCCGCGCGCCTAGAGCCCGTGCTCCGCAACAAGAGAAGCCACCGCAATGAGAAACCTGCGCACCGCAACAAAGAGTAGCCCCTGCTCGAGGCAAGTAGAGAAAGCCCGTACACAGCAACGAAGACAAAACGCAGCCAAAAATAAATAAATTTAAATAAATAAATAAATAAAAATTGTTCACTTAAAATGATTTAAAAAAAACTATTGGAATGAATAAATGAGTTGAACAAGGTTGCAGGATACAAGACCAATATAAAACAATTGTATTTCTGTAAACTTGCAACAAACAATCTGAAAATGAAATTAAGAAAACAATTCTGGGGGGCTTCCTTGGTGGCACAGTGGTTGAGAGTCCGCCTGCCGATGCAGGGGACGCAGGTTCGTGCCCCGGTCCAGGAAGATCCCACATGCTGCGGAGCGGCTGGGCCCGTGAGCGATGGCCGCTGGGCCTGCGCGTCCGGAGCCTGTGCTCCGCAACGGGAGAGGCCACAACAGTGAGAGGCCCACGTACCGCAAAAATAAAAAAGGAAAATTAAAAAAAAAAAGAAAACAATTCTGGGGCTTCCCTGGTGGCACAGTGGTTGAGAGTCCGCCTGCCAATGCAGGGGACACAGGTTCGTGCCCCGATCCGGGAGGATCCCACATGCCGCGGAGTGGCTGGGTCCGTGAGCCATGGCCGCTGAGCCTGCGCGTCCGGAGCCTGTGCTCCGCAATGGGAGAGGCCAAAACAGTGAGAGGCCCGCGTATCGCAAAAAAGAAAGAAAGAAAGAAAGAAAACAATTCTGTTTATAACATCAACAAAAAATGAATAAATTTAACAAAAGAAGTGTAAAACATACTCTGCAAACTACAAAACATTTTTGGAAGAAATTAAAGAAGATCCACATAAATGGAAAAACATCCCATGTTCAAAGATTGAAATGCTTAATATTAAGATGGCAACACTACCCAAACTGACCTTTTAGATTCAATCCAATCACCAACAGAATCCCAGCTAACCTCCCATAGAAACTGATAGGCTAAGTCCAAAAATCATACGGAATTGCAAGAGACCTAGAACAGACGATCTTGAAAAAAGAACAAAATAAGAGAACTCACTTCCTGTTTTGAAAACTTACTACAAAGCAAAGGTAATCAAGACAGTCTAGTACTGGCATGAGAACAGACATACAGACCAATGCAACAGAACTGAGGGTTCAGAAATAAAGCCACATGTCTATGGCCAACTAGCTGTCAACAAGGGTGCCAAGATCATTCAATGGGGAAAGAATAGCCTTTCTAACAAACGGTGCTGGGACAACTGGATAGGCATATACAAAAAAAATGAAGCTGAACCCTTACCTCATACCATTATCATTCATTATTATATATTAATGTATTATATATAATTAGTGAATATATGTTATATTAACATATTCAAAGAATTATAGCATTATTCATAAGCCAAAAGATGGAAAGAACCCAAATGCCCACTAACGATGAGGGGATAAATAAAATGTGATATATGTATACAATAGAATATTATTCAGTCTTGGGCTTCCTGGTGGCACAGTGGTTAAGAATCCGCCTGCCAATGCAGAGGACACGGGTTCGAGCCCTGGTCCGGGAAGATCCCACATGCCAGAGCAACTAAGCCCGTGCACCACAACTACTGAGCCCATGTGCCACAACTACTGAAGCCCACACGCCTAGAGCCCGTGCTCCACAACAAGAGGAGCCACTGCAATGAGAAGCCCACGCACCACAACAAAGAGTAGTCCCCACTCGCCACAACTAGAGAAAGCCCACACACAGCAATGAAGAGCCAACGCTGCCAAAAATAAATAAATAAAATAAATTTATCTTAAAAATAAATAACCGATTAATTCGAACATGACATGAAGGAATTTTATTCTAGAAAAACTTTTAATTCACTTCTCAAGTTTACAAAAGACTGATTTCTTTCCTTCTATATTTCAAGCAAAACCAACCTATTTTCATAATACAAGTAGCAGCTTAAGGAAAAAAAAAACCTGTGTAGGAAGCTATTTACTTTGCAAGAAAATGAGACCTAAAAATCAGAATTTCCCCTGTAATTTGGAAATGTTTGGTAACAATCTCAGAATATTCTTGGTTTTAAGAACTTAGCTACTGAAGTTTTTGTTTTTATCCAACAGAAAAGAGCTCACATTCAGCTTTGTTATGATTCCTTTATTAACTAATCAAAATTAAAACACATATCTATTTCTAAATCATGAAGTAAAATATTTACATTTGGCTCCTTTAGTGAACTGCTTTACATAAATTGACTCAAGTCAATACCGGAGACATACGAAATCAGTACAGTAGGTCCTCCCGATGTGAAACCCACAGATACAGTGGGCTGACTGTACTATGCCATTTTATATAAGGAACCTGGACATCCAGGGATTTTGGCATCCACTGGAGGTCTTGGAATCAATAGCCCCCCCAATCCCACCCCCACTCTGGGATACCTAGGGACGACTGTATAAAGCCACTGTTATCTCCCACCTTCTTCAACTACCATCCCATCTTTGCAGGCATATAGGTTAATGAAATATTCCAAAACTATCCCACTGTTTTTTCTCCTTTACTTTCATCTCCTAGGAAAAGTATGACCCACCACTAAGTCAGTATAAGTAGAAGCCTGTTATTCCTCCAAATCAAACACTGTTTAATGTGATTTTCAATTGACAGAATAAGATTATTTACATCAGGAATCCTATATGGAAACTTTATGAATGAAAATTAATAAAGACATTTAGATTAGAAACCACTAACTAGGTGTGTAGCCTGAGGTCCTCCTTACCATTCTGTGGCTTCAGTATCTTACCCACAAAGGAGGAAATTCTATTAGTTCAGAGATTACAAATATACAACACATGTGGGCTGCTACTCGCCCTCTGAACAGCCACTACTAATTGATAAGAGATCAAATAAGAAATGGCACCTAAGGTGAAACTTGCTAGACAAGTGATCTAAGCTTCCTTCCCCTTCTAACATTCTGTCTGTGACCTACTTGGAATCAAATACATTTGCAGTGAACAGCTCAGACACAGATAGAAACAATATACACAAGCTAACTTAAGGAGTCAGAGCCTCAAAATACAGAAATTCTTTATCATCTTTAAATGTACAGACTTTCTTTTTTTAAAGAATAAGTCACAAAAAAAAAAGAATAAGTCACTATTTATACATTTCTCTATTTCAGATGTAAATTGCTGGAAAATAATCAAGTCTAAGTGGAAAAACCTTAAAATACTATATCTTTCTCAATTTCCAACTTGTGTCAAATAGTGTTCTTTATCATGAACTACATTCTTGATACTCAGGCATGCTTGAACATGCCTGAAGAAATCCCTATGGAAAGAATATTGAAAAGCTTCCTGAAAATCAACTAGGAATGTTTGTTTGCCTTATTACTTATCTCAAGTAGGATGCATATCCAGTTACAGATTTACACAGAACACGTAAAGGTGAACACCCTGACAGATGTTTAGACAATTACATAATTCTGTCAAAGTGTTATTTCTAGCACCTTCATGTGGCCTTCTGAATGTCTAAAGCCTACTCCTATAAAGCCCTTCCCCTTAAGTGCTCCACTACAAATTTCCAATTCCTCCTTCTTGGTTCCTATCAAACTCTCATTCCCTCAGCCCAACTTTCAACTGTTAGAAAACTACTCTGACTCAAGTGGGAAAAAAAAATTTTTTTTCTTGCTTTTGTTCAGGGGAGAAAGTCAAAGTCAGGGAGGGGAGGGAAATAATTGTCTGGTACCATCAAAAGGTGAAAATGTGTAGAGAAAGGGTGATTCATCAGTCAAAATAGAAAATAAGTTCTTACTATGGGCCAATTATCGTGCCAGGCATGGGAGATATGGTAACCAAGATAAAGCCCACTCCTGACAGTAAACTAGCCAGGAAAAATAAGTAACTAAAGTAGTATCAATGAAACATAGGACCTGTGCCATATGGTCATAACATAGCCTTAGAAACCAAGGAAGGCTTCCTATGAAAAAAGATTAGCCAACAGTACAGCAACATTTGAGAGATAACACGACATACTCGAGGAACTGCAAAAACTATAGTATACCTGACATACAGAGACAAGGGATGAGGCTCAGAGATCATGGAAGACCATGGAAGTCACTTTAAGGAACTGAACCTTATCTCAAAAAGTAAGTCTCTGAAGGAGACTTATTTGAGGAGCATAAGTATACCTTTACAGAAGTCTCTATCAGCCTACTTCACCCACTGTTGTAAAGGCGACTGAGAAGGGGAAGGAAATAACAAAAAGCGAGAGACTGAACGGTGCTTCAGAGACTTTAGAGTATACTCAGACATCTTAGGTTAGAGCTACAATGCTTGGAAGACAGGTGCTCAATCATATGCCTCAATATGTACTACATGCAAAAAGGAATTATGGAGATGAAGAAGAATCAAGAGCTCAAACAAACTTACATTACTGTCTTAACTGAGAAGTCTTATCAAGAACTGTATTTTCGTAAAATTAAAGATACAGCTCTTACTGTTTCTTGTCTATTATTTTTAAACAATATTGGTTGGTAAGTTTTGTTTTTAACTCAGTTCAATTTAAAAGACACTATTCACCTTGTTATACATATATCTAAGCATGAAGTCCAGTAGAAATGATTTCCCTTTACGAAAAGCTCCTGCCACGGATACCACTACTATGTTAAGATCTCGTATGTGCTCCTGTAGCAATATCTGCTCCAAAGCTTCTTCATCAAGCTCAAAGTTATGGTCATCTTCATGTGCAAGAACAATCTGTACTGGACATGGTTTCTTCATAACCTCATCAGAGTTTACTAGGTCATCATCTTCATAATTCTCACCTAGAGTTAAAAAAGAGAGAAACAGGTTACCTTAATTCCTGCATTCTAAACTTTTCCTAAAGGATCACAACTAAAGCAAAATTTCAAATAACTTCTCCGCCATTATAGGTCATTTGGAAATAGTTACAAAAAGTGATGCTCAAACACACACTGGATTTCTCACTCCCTCTATAATAGGACCAAGAATACCAGTCAGTTTCTTACTATATAGAGAGATAAGCAGGAATACTAAGTAAGGCCTCTATCTCAATCAGGTCTTAACAGCTAAACGTGCGCAACAGCTGTTCTGAACACTGTGTGATTCTATAAACAACTTTTGCTACTGTATGCACACACAAACCAGATGCAGTGAGTGGAAAATCAATTTCACCTAATAATTCAGATTCCAATTTCCCTATAGGCATCACCTGGAAATTACTCCAAGTTACAAAGATTAAAATATACATATAAATTGTAAACATTATTTTTCATTCTGAAACTTCAAGGGTTAAGGTCCTCAGAAATTTCCAAAAATGACACATGATAAAGCTAATGGTTCCCTAATTTAATAAGAGTTACCTAAAAGGATAGCATTCCTTATTAAAACAAAGCACAGGATTAATGTTTTAGTGGAAGACATAAGAAGAACAGTCAACGAGGTGCAGAGATTCAGCTGTCTCTAGGGCCCTTTTTCACCAAACACCACAGACACCCCTTCAAAATTATATAGCTCCTAAAAAACAGCTATATAAACTCGTTTGTTCACCCAGCACACCAAAAGAAGTTAACCTTTACAGAAGGTAAATAGGTAAATAGTGATGAAGAAATAACTATAGAATAGGTAACAGGTGAGAGAGTTTTTTAAAGTTTAGGTTTGTGTTTTGTTTTTGTTTTGTTTTCTGGTTTTTGTTTGTTTGTTTGCGGTACACGGGCCTCTCACTGTTGTGGCCTCTCCTGTTGCGGAGCACAGGCTCCGGACGCGCAGGCTCAGCGGCCATGGCTCACCGGCCCAGCCACTCCGCGGCATGTGGGATCCTCCCGGACCGGGGCACGAACCCATGTCCCCTGCATCGGCAGGCGGACTCTCAACCACTGCGCCACCAGGGAAGCCCTGTTTGTTTGTTTTTAAACCCACTTAATAGCTAGTTTCAGAGACTATGTACCTTGTCTGCCTTTCTTCCCTATCAATTGCTTGATCCCACTAGCAACACTCCTGGGGATCTTATCCTCTCCCACATCAACATTTTTAAGACTCTCCCCTTGAGATTGTCTACTAAGTGCCAGTTTCCAATCTAAGGAGACATACAGTATCTACTGTGTTCAATACAATGACAGCCCCTCCTCACCGAGGAGACAGCCAGTCCACTGAGGAGTGGCACATTATTAGTGCACCAATACCTTATCCACACAAACACTATTCTCAGCACGAAGATTATATACTTACATTAATGAATTTTTAATTTCTTTACAGAAAGAAACATCTAGCTTATTTGATTTGCAAAGACTATTAGAGTCTTTACCTTCACATCACAAGGCACATTTAACTAACTGTACAAAGCAAAATCAACACTATTTCAAAAGCTGTTGCAAACAGTAACAATATAATGTAATATAAAGAGCAGTCAGTTTCAAAGGAGAATTTTTTAAAGTAAAAGCAAACAGTATTTAATTAAAAAGGATATTATCACTGCTTGTTTCAATGCTATACAGATATAGCCAGGTATGCTATTTGAATGCACAAAAAGTAAACCTTCCAGGAAAAGTACAACATAGTTAAATTCCAATTTAATATATTACCAAACAGTATGCAAATTGTGTGATTAAAACCTTCCAAACCTATTAGTGGTTAAGAATGAACCAGGAGGGGCTTCCCTGGTGGTGCAGTGGTTGAGAATCCGCCTGCCAGTGCAGGGGACATGGGTTCGATTCCCAGTCCGGGAAGATCCCGCATGCCGCAGAGCAGCTAAGCCTGTGTGCCACAACTACTAAGCCTGTGCTCTAGAGCCCACAAGCCACAACTACTGAGCCCACGTGCCACAACTACTGAAGCCCGCGGGCCTAGAGCCTGTGCTCCGCAACAAGAGAAGCCACCGCAATGAGAAGCCCGCGCGCTGCAACGAAGAGTAGCCCTCGCTCGCCGCAACCAGAGAAAAGCCCGCATGTAGCAATGAAGACCCAACGCTGCCAGAAGCAATAAATAAATAAAATAATAAAATAAATAAATTTTTTAAAAAAAGAATGAACCAAGAAGCAAAACTGCCTAGATGCGTGCCATTTAACTTCTCTATGCCTGCTTCCTCATCTGTAACATGGGGATAATAATAGCACCTACCACATTAAGTTGTCATCAGGATTAAATGATTTGAAATATGCTTGATACATCATAAGCATTACAGGTGCTTGTCATTAAGGTGACAGTAATTTTAAAATAATCCTACAGAAAAGCTTTTATTTACACCTTAAAATGCTAAAACTCTACAGTGACCTTCAATTGACCTGTGTAGCTGTGTAACAACATCACCATCTACCCATTTGCAGGCACAAACCTGAGGGCTGTCCATGATACATCCCTCCTTTTCCTTACCCCTAAATCTAACCAATAACGAAGGTCTTAAATTTGTCTTCATTCAAAATCTTCTGATACCATCCCTATTCTCATCATCACCACCATCTTATCTCACTTAAGGTGGTATCGAACTGGTCTCCCTTCTTGCCCCCTCCTCCAAACCAATCCTCACAGAGTAGAAACTGAATAATACGGTTAAATGTAAATGTGATTAAGTTACTCTCCTTAAAATCACTGCTACAGAGCATTAACAACTAAAATCCTACATGTGCCTCATAAAATCCTGTACTCACTGCCAAATCTCTCCTGCCCCATTTGGTGCTATTTTCCCCTGTGTAAACTACCAATAGACAAGCTAACCTTTTTTCAGATCCTTATGCTATTAAGCTCTTTCTAGACCCTTATATCACCCATGATATTTCTCTGCCTGGAATACTCTTTCCCATGTTGTTCCCCTAATTAATTCCTTAAATCTCAGTTTAAACGTCATGTTCTCAGGAATATCTTCCCCCAAGGTTCCTAACCAAATTCAGTCCTCCTACACTCCCCCGATTTTAATCCACCCATCATTTGAATATTTATGTAAGTACTTATTTATTACATGTCTCCCCGCCTAGACTGCCAATCCTCTGCTTAAAACCCTCAATTAGTTCCCCACCATAACCAGAAAATAGAGGGGAAAAAAAAAAATCTTCTAAATCCCTTACCATAGTCTCCCCAGTTCTGTGTGATCTGGCCCCTGCAATCTGCCCTTCTTGCTGTTCCTTGAACAGGCCAAACCTGTTTCCCACCCCAGAATCTTTATCCTGTGTTCTCCCCTGTCTGGAACGCTCTGTCCCTAGAAATTTACGTGGCTTGCTTCTCCATCATCTAGGTCTCAGTGCGAATGTTATCTCCTCCATGTGGCTTTCCTCAACCACTCAGTCTAAATTACAGACCCCTCTCCATCACTTTAACAAAACAGGGTTTTTTCCCACAGCCCTTTCCAGTATTTAAAATAACTTTTTTCATTTGTTTACATGTGTGCCTTATATCTCCCCCTCCATAGAAAGTATGTGCCACAAAAACAAGGATCCCAGTCACCCTACTGACCACTCTCTTAGTACTTAGAACACGCTTGGCACCTAGCAGGTGCTTAATAAATATTTCTTGAATGAATGAAATTTACATATTTTACTCAGGAGTTTTACACATGTCCCTACCTGTTTTATAAGCAAATTTGACATTCACATAATTAGTTTGGGGAAATACTTCTAGCAACTCAAGAATAGTATATTTATCACAAAATTACAATTAAAAGTATGAAGTTCTACCAAGTAACACATTTTAATTAAAAAGAACTCAAAATTAGTAAGTGCTAAAGTATCATAATGACCAAATTTGGAGATTGCTGATTTTGTTAAAACCAACAAGTAGTCTTATTCTTAATGTAAAGAAAGCATTAGTTGGTTTCTTAAAAATAAAAATAAACCATTTGGCAGGAAATCTTTGCTACCTTAAAATTTCGCCTAAATTAATTGACTACAGTGGCCAGTTTTCTTTTATTAGCACGAATAAAGATAGATACTGCAGATATACAGGCAGCATATTTGTCACTATTTCTAGTCAACAGACCTCTAAAGGGAAGTGTAGCGAATATGTTTCACAGGTATCATGGAGTACAATGACATGATTCAGCTAAATTTACTCCCCCATCATAATTTCCCTACTAAATTTGGACGAACTACAGATAAAGTACTTCATTCATCAAACACTGATATAGGCCACCATATAAAAGAGAATTATATGCAAATTTCTTTAGAATACCTATAAATATTAATACTCTGTGATCACCTACAATTGGAAGTCTTTTTAAATTTAGCACTAAGATCTTAAACTGAAGTTAAATTCTATGTAGAGAATAGTGATTTTATTTCCACTCTTTAATGCCAAGAGATTGCTGGAAAAAGAGATTTCAGCCCTCCAATAGATTTTCCTAATTCACTGTTCCAAGTCAGTTCTCCCCCAACGTGGATCTTTCAGGGTTAAAGCTGAAAGACACATACAGACAATCAACTCAAATATTTCTCCATACCTTAACACTAAGTATACTTAACATATTTACCACAAGGCCTACAAAAAGACACCGTCTTGGTAAAAAAGTGGGGAAAGAGAGATGACTAGGTGGAACACAAGAGGATTTTTAGGGCCATGAAACTATTCTCTATGATGCTAATGGTAGAGCTGTATCATCATACATTTGTCAAAACCCATAGAATATACAACCCCCAAAGTGAACCCTAATGTAAACTACAGACTTTGGGTGATAATCAGGTGTCAATGAAAGTTCACTGATTGTGACAAGTGTACCACTCTGGTGTGGGATGCTGACAGGGTGAGAGGCTGCAGGTGTGTGAGGACCGGGGGTGGGGGGGTCAGGGGTTGGGGGGTGCGCATGCGTGCGGCCAGACTCTAC